ACAGGACAAGTTGTAGAAGGAAGACAAGATGTGAGTTCATGTGATTTAGCAAGGATAAGGTAAAAAAGTCCGTTTGATTCACGCCCGGTACCAATAATCCGCCCCGTACTGCGTTCCTGTATAAAAACATGGTCATCAAGAAATAAAACAGCGCATTTAAGTGATTTGGCTAAGCGACTAACAACCATGAGATTAAAAGGACTATTGGGAACATAAAGGACTTAATCTAAAGGTAAGGAAGGAAGTGGGCTTGCTTGACCTATTGCAGTTGCTATGGTTTGAGACCCATTGGCCATTGTGACTTTTGGAAGAGATTGAGAATACGAAATAGTAGTGAAAAGAGATTTGTTACCAGAAATATGATCTGATGCACCTGAATCAATGACCCAAGACTCAGAGGATGAAGATTGGGAGAAACAAGTCACGCTATTACCTGTTTGAACAACAGAAGCTATCTCAGAAGATGTCTGCTTACATGCTTTATACTGAAGGAACTCAATATAATCCGCTAAAGAAACCATCCGACTATTCAAAGTATCGGTTCCCATGTCGCTACAATTTGTAGTAGTAGGGTTAACTTGAAATAGTGGAAATAAGTAACTCCTGTGAGAAAACTGAAGAAATAGCTTGAAAAACACTGTTTACAGTAGGAAAACAAAACATTGTTCTGCGCCGAAAACACTGTTGCTCGCCGGAAAATTCCAAAGTTGTCGGAATTTGTCGTAACCAGGATGGATAGACTCGGAATTCCTTTGCGAGCAAGCTGTCCTGAAGAAATATTTTCAAAAAATGGCCGGAAAGGTCACTGTTCACGCCGGAAAAATATAAAAGTGGTAGGAATTTGATTTGAATTAGATGGGTAGGCTCGGAATTTTGAGAGCACACTGTCCTGAAGAAGCTTCGCGAAAAAATGGCCGGAACCCTCGCCGGAAAAGTTGTTGCCGGCGCGTGGAGGAGCGTGGTGGCTTTTCTGACGGATAAAATTTCAGGGGTTGGTCGTCGGAGGGTGATCTACCTCGTGGTGGTGTTGGTTTTAGCACAACACCGACATAAAATGATTTTCACTTAGACAAGCGTTAGGTCACCGGAAAAATTGCACGATGACTAAGTTCTTTCTTCCCGGTTAACGCTGGAATGACGCACATTGATCTTTTCTCACTAATGCTCTGATACCATATGAGAAGGCACGAGAGAAAATATGTTATTGATATTAGATGATAAATACAATAGGCCCCTATTTATAGCTATACACTACAAGGAGATATTACTCCTCTTCCAATGTGGGACAAGACTACACTATACATATCTGTAAACTGACACTTGTATTTGTGGTGAGGTTCGGCATAAACCTTTACCAGTATTTTAAAAGTGAATAGGGGGGCCTTAATGCCATACCTCCACAGAACCTATGTCAAGAGCAGACGTGCCCGCTGCTTTACATTTTCATTTTGTCTAAAAAAGGTGATTCAGTGAGAACCTTCTTTAATATTTAGCATATCTTGGTATTTTAACTGATAATTTAGTTTTATTAATTGATTTATTTATTTTTAAACTCAGACTATCGCACAGATTAGGTTTGCTCTGGAAGTTTGATATTTAGAAAGCTCAGCTCTATTTTTTTGTGTACTCCAGATATTTGCATAGATGGGAACTGGATGCTGCTTTGGATGTTCTCACTATGTGCAGCTGCCACTTGCTTGGAAATGATCCTATTAAAGATAATGTATGCCCGTACTGCGGTTGTGTAATCTTACACTTGTTGCTATTTCTAGGCATTATTTTTTGTATCTGATTTATCTATATGTACTTGGATTTGCCTTGGAATGCTAACTTTATATCTGTTTTCTTGATGCATTGATGGTACAACTAGGTTGTTCAGATGAGACAAGCTCTCCAGAGGTACAGCCATATATTAAGTGCAGATAACCGCTTCCACAGCTGGCTAGAGGTTATTATTAGCTCTTCCTTGCTTGTTATTAGTTAGATTTTGGGGAACTGTAAGATTATAATCTTGTTCGTGTTTCTAGAGCTCTTCTTTTTCTCTCCCCGTGTTTGTTTTCACCTTTTCATCTCATGTGAAGCATTTCTTTTGAATTTTTAGGTGGAGTCCGAGTGTAAAGAAGATCCTGAGGGTCTTGCCCTTAGACTAGCTGAGAAGGGAGCTGTTTCTGCTGCTTTAGAAGTGGCTGAAAGTGAAGGGCTATCTANGTCTATCGAACTGCGCAGAGAGCTGCAGGGGCGTCAACTTGTGAAGCTTCTTACAGCAGATCCTTTAAACGGTGGAGGCCCTGCAGAAGCTTCACGTTTTCTTTCTTCTTTACGTGACACTGCAGATGCTTTACCTGTTGCAATGAGTGCAATGCAGCTTTTGCCCAACCTACGATCAAAACAGCTTCTTGTAATGACGTTTCCTCCTATAACATTTCTTTATCAGAGTTGCTCTGAAATTGATTGCTATCAGCCTTTAAAAGTTCTCCTTGCAAATAATTCAGTTTTTTAGTTTATTTTATTTTTGTTTCTCTGAAGGTTCACTTTTTCCTGAAAAGAAGGGATAATAATTTATCAGAGTCAGAAGTTTCCAGGCTCAACTCCTGGGCTTTAGGGTTACGTGTTCTGGCTGTTTTGCCATTACCATTGCAGCAAAAATGCTCTCCCCTACACGAGCACCCTCATTTGATTCTAGAGGTTTTGCTGATGAGAAAACAACTTCAATCTGCATCTCTGGTAATAAGTTGCAAGTGTAGAGAAGGTTAATTTTTTCATTTCTGTCATTATCTTTGATGCGGCCTTGGTTTTTTTCTTGCAGATACTTAAGGAATTCCCCTCCTTGAGAGACAACAATATGATTCTTATATATGCTGCCAAAGCTATCGCTGTCAGCATTAGTGCTCCTTCCAGGGATCCGAGGATTTCAATTTCGACTCCAAGAGCAAGACAGAAGACAAAAATGGGAACACCTACAAGGTCATCATTCACTAGTAGCCTTAGTAATTTTCAAAAAGAGGCCCGCAGAGCATTTTCTTGGGTCCAAACTGGAGATAAAGGTGCATCAAAGGATACACATAGGAAGAGAAAGAGCTCTGGTGTAATGCAATCTGAGAGAGTGGCGTGGGAGCCAACTACTGTCATTCAGGAAGACCGTGTTACATTATTTGCTGCAGATGGGCAAGAACGGCTGCCTGCTGTTGCTATTGCTGAGATGTGGATGCTCACAGGTGACCCAAAGAAGGATGAAGCTGTCCGTTCATCGCATCGATATGAAAGTACCCCGGATATTACTCTTTTCAAGGTATGGTTATTTTCTCTAATCAGTATGTTTCTGCTGGATCACACCTGGCACGAGTTTTGAGGTGGTTCTTTTGCCTCTATTAACTGAAAATCTATTGATTCTGATTTTTCATAGGCGGAAAAGAATTCTTGCATTGCTAATTGTTTTTTGTCGCACCTAGAATTAAATACTTCCTTTTAATTTCCGCAGTAGCAAATTTACTCTTCTCTGCATTAGAAAGTTTCTTTTTTGAGGATGGTGTTATTCAGAAATATGTATTAAAAGGTAATCAATCCATATGATAGTAAGGTAATTATATAATTAAATACATAATTTCCTAAGGTATCATATATAAACTACTCCCTCCGTTCCAATTTATGTGAACCTGTTTGACTGGGCACGGAATTTAAGAAAAAATAAGACTTTTGAAATTTGTGGTTCTAAACAAGTCAAAAAGGGGTCCAGAATGTTTGTGTGGTTATAAAAGCTTCTCATTAAGGGTAGAATTGGAAGTTTAAGCCAAATTGTTTCCAAATTTAGAAAGGGGTCATTCATTTTGGAACGGACCAAAAAGGAAATAAGTTCACATAAACCGGAACGGAGGGAGTATATGATTATTATATTGTTTTCCTTATTCAAGTACAATGAGTATAGATACTTATTCACTTGATAATCTAGCAGACTCCCTCAAACTCAAAGTGGGGGAAACCAACTTGAGTTTGCTTATTTTGAAAATATAGAAAGTTGATGCCTAATCTCGCTGGAATAGTGCACAATTACCAAAAAGAAAAACGGCGCTGGAATTCTTTCCTCCGGAAATCCGTTGGTAATGGTAGAGCGAAAGAAAGTGCTTTTTGCACTATTCACGAAAAGGAATCTATTCTCAATCACCAAAAAGAATATGGTCTTGCACATCTCAGAACATCATCTGTAACTTGAATTGGCAGAACAATAATAAGAAATTCAACGTTTAGAGGAGTGTGTTAGCCCCGTTAAAAGTAGCAGTGCCGGTCACCAGAGAGATGATCGGTACTTGAACGATCCTAGAGAAAGGAGAGGTGCTTGAATGGTCATATAGAGATAAGGGCACCGGTTGCCGAAGATAGGAGCATCATCGGGCACTTAAAGGAAGAATAAAAGAAGAAAATATTGGCCGGACGAGCAGTACACATTGGCCGATACTGCCCGCCGGTAACGGAAGCTATTTGAGTCTCTACCAAGATTGTAGAGAAGTGTGTGATCATCTCATCTTTTAGCTTAAGCTGTAAGAAAGAGCACACTTCTGTTCATTTAATTATTTCTTCAATAATGTGTAATACTGAGCCTTTCTAATTTTATGTGTCTGGTAAACATGACTATTTGATCAGGTAATTTCTCATTGTCTAAGTATTGTTGTTATAAGGAGATAGTTGGGCAGAAAGAATGAGTGGCTGCATAATTCTTGCTGATCTTAAATGGCTGATGTGAATTTTGGATTGGGATGGCGTGACGTGCAGGACGTTAATATTTTCATGACATTATCCCTCTTTATTGCAAAATGTGAGCCCTATGTCATGAAAGCGGAATTTACGCCTTGAATTGCACACGTTCTGTTTTTTCTCTTGTGGGTATTAAGCGATACCTTTCTGGCCTAGATTTGAGATTGTCCTAATAAGAGACTGAGTTTTTTCTGTATCTATGCTTTCAGGAATTGCTCTTATTTTAATTATGTTCTGCACTCTAAAACATGCTAATTTGACTGTTCTTATTTTACTTTCTGAAATTCTTAATATTTTTACTTTGGATTTAAGGCACTGCTTTCAATGTGTTCGGATGAGAGTGCATCTGCCAGAGGTGCTTTGGACTTGTGTGTTGGCCAGATGAAAAGTGTATTAAGCTCCCTACAGTTACCTGAGAATGCAACAATGGAAACTATTGGCCGAGCATATCATGCCACAGAAACTTTTGTTCAGGTATCTACTCTGCACTCAATGAAGACTAAATGAAAATATTCATGAAATAGTGCAGTAATATGTTGAGTTTTGATCTTGTAGGGCCTGCTTTTCACGAAATCCCTCCTTAGAAAGCTTTCTGGGGGCACTGACTTGCCAAGTAGTTCAGAAAGAAGTAAGGATGCTGATGATGCATCTTCTGATGCTGGAAGCTCTAGTGTGGGTAGTCAGTCTACTGATGAGCTGTCTGGAGTACTGGCACAAGCTGAGACGTGGCTAGGACGTGCTGAATTGCTGCAAAGTCTTTTGGGTTCCGGAATAGCTGCCTCACTGGATGATATTGCTGATAAAGAGTCATCTGAGCGACTTCGGAATAGATTAATTCTAGATGAAAGATACAGCATGGCTGTCTACACTTGCAAGAAGTGTAAGGTAGTATGGAAGATAATTTTTTTTATGTGCATGATTGTCCTCTTTGCACCATAAAGTAAATTCTAATTGGCAACTTACTCTCAGATTGATGTTTTTCCTGTGTGGAATGCATGGGGTCATGCTCTGATTAGGATGGAGCGCTATGCACAAGCTCGTGTGAAATTTAAGTATGTAGGAATAATATTATTTCCTACTTTTTGTCAACCACCAACAAAACCTATTTTTTGAATTCTTGTCTCTGCACTTTTCTTACCATTTGACAATTTCTAGGCAAGCACTTCAATTGTACAAGGGTGATGCTGCAACTGTTATAATGGAGATAATTGGCACCATTGAAGGAGGTCCACCGGTAGATGTTTCATCTGTTCGGTCCATGTAAGATAGTAAATACTTTTGTCTCTATATATTGGTGACTTAATATGAGGAAGACATGAGATATCTTATCTGCAAATGCTGGTCCTGTTCTTTCTTTTATGCATGCTGTTGAATCTCTTCTTCTTAGGTTATTTTAAAGTAGCAGCATTTAGGGGCTAGTGCTATATTTATAAGATGTCATTGTTAAAGAATGTCCTAGATTTATTGTGCAAGGGGTTCTAAGGGATTTATAATGCCCGAGCTACTCCACCCATTGCCTTAAAATATTGGGGTTGGATGCTGAGATTTTTCACATTGGTAGGCCGATTTCACATCTTTTCTCTATACCCACTCTTATCGTTCTGGACTCCTCTCTCAACATAATCCATCGAGCTGCTTTGTGCCTCTCTCTGAGTTCAGCTTATTGAGCGATTAACTCTGTTCTAGAACCACTCAGTTTGTCAAGTCTTTTCACTCTGGTCCAAGCTCACTCCTTAACCGTCAAGCATACTCTCTGCTCCAGGCCCAGCTTTCAGCCCCTTGAGCCGCTGTAGTCTTCTCACAGAAAAAAGGTCTTCATTCCATGTGTAAACCATTGAATCAGGTTACACATGCAGGAGGGTGTTAAAAACATGTCCTACATGGATTATGTATGGTTCTAAAGGGATTTATAACGTCCTGAGCTACTCTACCAATGGTCTTAAGGATTCTGGTTGGATGATCAGACTCTTTTAAAACCACATCTTTTTGATAAGGTAAATTGTATTAATCAAAAGGGAGAAAAAACTTCCGCATACAAGAAGTATACCAAAAAGTAGAGAATTTACATCAGAACATGATTCTCTACAAAAGACGCCCAATCTTCTACACAAGTAGGGGCTATATGTGTGCACCAAAAAGCGTCAAAGATAAAAGACTATTTTTAAGATATGAAAATGGAGACTATCCACATGAGAGCTAACGGGGCGTACTTCCACGCCTTTTGCTTGCTTCTTCTACGGAAACCGGCCCAGTTATATAGCATTTCCTTTACAGTGTTTGACATCACCCATTGAACACTAAAAAGATTCAAGATTGCCCTCCACAAACCCCAGGACACAGGGCAATGCAGCAGAAGATGATCAACTTCTTACCCTGAGCTTTTACACATGTAGCACCAACTAACAAGTGTAATTTCTCTCTTTTGCAGATTTTCAGCTCAAGATCACTCCCCTCGCTGCTAGCCATGCAAAAAAGCACACCTTCGTGGGCGCCTTAGGAATCCAGATCGATGAGTATGGAAAAGAAGCCTGCTCTCTCGCCAACATACTCTGGTAAAATGACTTTACGGTGAACAAACCATCGCCACACAACCCCCATCTCCAAGAATCGCAAGATGGATGGGGCCGGTCGTGCCCGTATAGCAGTGCCAACAAATTTTGGAGCTCCGAAATCTCCCAATCTTGCATGTTCCTTCTAAAAGAGAGGTCCCATACTACCCCTTCATGCTTCTTGCGAATCTGTTGGACCATCAATTCCTTCTGGTTTAAAACTCTGAAGACATGGGGGAAAGAGACCCTCAGAGTATCCTCTCCACACCACCTGTGATTCCAAAAGTTGATTCTCCTTCCATCTCCCACCCTGTAAGTGATATTGCCATAGAAAGCTTCTAAGTTCTTCATGATGTTCCTCCACATGCCACACCCGAACGGTGCTGTGATTGCCTTGGTCCTCCAACCCCCTCCCGTGGAATCGTACTTTTCTACTATGACCTCCCTCCATAGACCATGCTCTTCTACTCCGAATCTCCAAAGCCACTTCCCCAGCAAAACTCTGTTGAATACCCTAAGATCTTTTACTCCAAGTCCACCCCAATTCTTTGGGGAAGTGACTGTCTGCCAATTCACTAGATGAAACTTTCTAGTTCCATCCGCCACATTCCAAAGAAAATTCCTTTGAAGCTGCTCTAGTTTTTCTGTGATGCTCACAGGAGCTTGCAACAGAGACAAGTAATAGGTAGGGATACTTGACAAAGTGCTTTTGATAAGCACTTCCTTACCGCCTTTTGACAAGTACCGTTTCTGCCAGCCTGCTAATCTTTTTTCAACCCTTTCAATGACTGGATTCCAAACCGTAGTATCCTTATGCAAAGCGCCCAATGGTAGACCCACGTAAGTAGTGGGAAGAGATCCCAACTTGCATCTGAGAACGTGAAACAAAGCATCAATGTTAGCAACCTCACCCACCGGGAAAATCTCACACTTGCCGAGGTTGATTTTGAGTCCTGATACTATCTGAAACCACTGCAGTACCTGCTTCAGGCAGGTTAACTGATCCATATCGGCATCATGAGCACCCCGATCGGAGCTGAGAATCCTCTCAAGAAGCCTCCACCCGCCGGACGATCCATCATTTTACTCAGAGCATTCATCACTAAAATGAATAGCATGGGGGATAAGGGTCACCTTGCCTGAGACCCCTGGAGCTGCCAAAGAAACCACACGGGCTACCATTAACCAGGATAGAGAATCTGACTGAGGAAATGCAGAACTTGATCCATCCCCTCCATCTTTCCCCAAACCTCATCCGCTTTATAATGAAGTCCAGGAACTCCCAATTGACATGGTCGAAAGCTTTCTCAAGGTCCAACTTGCATAGTAAGCCGGGTTCTCTATTTTTCCTTCTGGAGTCTACAAGTTCATTTGCCACCAGAGCAGCATCCAGGATCTGCCTACCTTCCACAAACGCATTCTGGGAGGACGAAACAGACACGTCAAGAACCTTCTTGAGTCTGTTGGAGAGCACTTTAGAAATAATCTTGTAAATGCTCCCCACGAGACTGATAGGCCTGTAGTCTCTGATACAAAATGCGCCTTCTTTCTTAGGCATAATAGTAATAAAAGAAACATTGATACTTCTCTCGAAAGCACCATTCACGTGGAAGTATTCAATGGCTTCCATCAACTCCCCCTTAATGGTGTCCCAACAGAGCTGGAAGAAGGCCAAGGAGAAATCATTAGGCCCGGGGGCCTTATCACCAGCACAACTCGACACAACATTGTGCACCTCCTCCTCCTCGAAAGCTCTTTCTAGCCACTTACTGTCTCCCTCCCCTATGTGGTTGAACTCTATTCTCCCCCCAAAGTAGGCCTCCAACTAACTTCCTCTTTGTATAAGTTCTCATAGAACCCCACTATCGCCCCCTTTACCTCCTCCTCTCCCTCAATCCTCACCCCATCCACAACTAAGGACTCTATGAAGTTTCTCCTTCGTTTTGCAACCGCAACCCTGCGGAAAAACTTGGTATTCGAGTGCCCCTCCTTTAACCAGAGCGCCCTTGATTTTTGCCGCCAACTAGTCTCCTGCGCTATTGCTAACTCGACTATTTCCCTCTTAATCTCCCCCAATCTCGCTTTCTCAGATTCATCTAGCTCCCTCGCCCCTTCCCATCTCTTTAATTCCCCCAATTCATGCATAAGATCCCTCCTTTTGACCTTTACCCTCCCAAATACCTCATTATTCCACCTAATAATATCTCCCTTGAGCAATTTGAGTTTCTTCGACAGACGAAATGAAGGTGACCTTGATACCCCGTAGCTTGTCCACCATTCTTTCACTTTGTCACCAAATCCTGGCACTTTCAACCACATGTTCTCAAATCGGAAGGGAGCACGCACCCCCTCCCCCTGCATCCATCTAGCAAGATAGGCAAATGATCCGAAGTTAGCCTAGGTAAAGGAATCTGCAACACATTCGGCACCAGCTCATCCTAGGAGGGCGATATCAGAAATCTATCAAGTTTAAACCTTGAGTTGGAATCCTCCGCCCTGGTCCAAGTAAACCTTTCCCCTGACAGAGGAAGATCAATGAGAAAGTGATCATTGATGAAGTCAGAAAACTCCTCCATGGCCCTCGAAATCAGATTACACCCTAATCTCTCATCCGGGAATCTAATAGTGCTAAAGTCTCCCCCTAGAACCCATGGAATGTCCCATTCCCCCATAATATTGGCCAGTTCCTCCCAGAAAGACACCTTGGACCCTTCCCATACCGGTCCGTACACTCCCCCAAATCCCCACTCCACCCCACTCACTCTATCTTTGACGAGAGCTGCTAAAGAAAAAACTCCCTTCCTAATCTCCTTTACCTCCAAGCTTCTGTCATTTAAAATGCCCCCGGCACTTCCCGCTGTTGGGACCTAGTCATATTTCACCCAACTACCTCCCCAGACACTTCTCACGATCGCATCCGACAAAACTTTCATTTTGGTCTCCTGAAAACAAATTAGGTTGGCACCCCACTCCCTAACTCCCACTTTGATGATGACCCTTTTGTTTGGGTTATTCATCCCCCTCACATTCCATGAAAGAATCTTAACTTCCATAAGTAACAATAGCCCCCATTTCCCCACCCCCCTAGCCGAGGTCCCTTTCTCCCCGTCACACACCCCGTCCCTTCTCTGATACACCACTACATTCCCTAAGTTATTTTGCTTAACACCTTTATCCAACTCCCTCCCTGCACCTTCGTAAAAAGACTGTTGCTCAATCTCCCTCAACAGTTCTAGCACCCTATCTTCCTTCCCTTCAAAAGAAACACCTAAGAACTTCCCAAAGTTTAATAGTTTATCCTCCATCTAGAATGACATATCCCCTTCTCCAATCCGTGACGAAATTGGACATGCGTCTTCTATAAGTACCTTTTCCTTGCCCCTACCGGAGGAATGCAAGACCATAACATTGCTAGCAATAGGAACTTTAGGTGCCGGGTGGATCTCATCGTTTCCTTGGGAGGCACCAACCTCTGAAATTCATGCCTCTCTGGCAGGGTATCGTGATGGAGCACTTGGCGGCATATTAATTGGTATTACTGGTCCGCCACTGACATCAATTGGGGCAAGCGCAACAATCTCCCCAGAAGAGGAATGAGCTTGTATTGTAACCTCAGCACAACTAAGCACATGGGGAGATGAGGGGGCGATGGAGCTGGGTCCATTAGAGGCGGGGGACCGTGGAATAACACCACCAGCTTTAGCCGGTGCTGCTCCTGGAGCAGTGGCCGAAGAGGGGCGCAGGTCACTAGTGCTTGGTGAAGAAATACCACTGTGTGAGGCACCATTGGCAGAAGAAGAAGGAGCGACTGCTCCCATATGCTTAAGAGCCTTATCAGACGCAACTTGATATAATCTGGGCCCCTTGGGATCAATTCTAATAGAATTGGAAAAAGTTGCTTGGCCTATGTGTGGAGGCCCAGGCCTATACTTGCTGAAATCTTGCCCTGCCCTATGATAGTTAAAAGAGGACCGACCCATTCTGCCTTTCCAGCCTGCATCACTAACTTATTCACGTCTTTTCCTCCTGTTAAAATTTTGTCTTCTTCTCCCAAATTCAAACCTCCCGTTTTTTCTCGATCTAATGTCTGATTCCGGCTTAGTCCACTGATCCAGTGAGCCCTCCCCTCCCCTCAGAGACTGATTTCCCCTCCCTTCTATTTGACCTTCCCTTTTCTTCCGCCACTATCACAGACATAAAGATAATGGCGAAATTCAGGGCTCAGCCAAATCCTATAACTCAAGTAGCCATCTTCCACCACAGTGGAAATAAGGATTCTGCCCCCTTTCCTCACCACAATCCTCACTCGCGAGAGATCCTGTAAGCTGCAAGTGACATTAATAAAACCCCCACAGATTTCCCCGATCTTCTTAAATCGGTCAAGACACCAAAGATGCACCGGGAGACCCACCATGTTGACCACCAATGATTCGCCGGTGAAACGAGGGTCTCGATACCCATCATGCTCCACCCATCTGTCTAGCTTTAAGAAGTTCCCATCGAACCACCTGTTTCCTTTGACAAGAATATCTGAAGCTTGATACTTTCGACAAAACGAAAGAGATATTGAGTGTCTCCCAGTTGCGATATTTTCAGCCCGTCCTTGACGTTCCATGCCTCTGCTGCCCAGTTCCTAACATCCTCTGGAGAACCAACCCATTTGGAGAAAGACCCAATGAAGTCAGATTCCAAGAAACCCTTGCGCCTTAGAGTGTGCTCCTCAGACAGCGAGAAGTGCGGCTCCTGCCCTACGTCGAGCTTTCGATGGCATCTTTCCCCAAGTTCTAGGGCTGGCCAAGAGGCAGCTTTGATAAAAGACATGTTTTCCAGTTTTCTAGATTCTAGAGAAGAAAGAGCTTCTCTATGTAGAATCCATCATATTCTAAATGTGGCTATCCCAAAAAAGAAGAAGTGAGATCTGGCCGGAAGAAGCCTAGGCTCGGTAAAGCCTCAAGAAGAGACTGTCTGAAGAAAAAAGTTTGAAAAAGTCGCCGGAAAAAGCCACACGCGCCGGCACGTGGCTGAGATCACTCTGGATAAGCAGGCGAGTTGGCCGCGCGTGAGGGCTTGGTTGCCGGAGAACTTCACTGGGGTTTGGACGCGGGAAGCTTGGCTCTTTGATGGGGGTGGTGGAGTCTTAGGAAGAAGAAGAGAGAGAAGAGTCTCTGGGTGGGCTAATTTGAGCTAAGTTGCTTGGACTCGGGTGCGGGTGTCCGATACGAGTGCGGATCTAGAGGTCAGATCCTTCATGATCTAAATTTAAAGATTCGGGGGTACGGATCCAGGTACGGATACGGGTGCGGGGATTCGGCTAAAAATAATTCAATTATTTAAAAATAGAGTTATAAAAATATGTCTAAATTATGAGACATTATGTGAAAAACTTACAAGGTATTCCGAGAAGGAGAAAATATTGAACAAGATTAGAATTTTAGAAGGAGATAAAAGGAAAAGGACTGACATAGAATTTTATATATACAAGGTATTCCATTTTCTTCCATATCACCCTAGCTTTTGATTTGTTTTCAAAAATTATTGTATCTGTCCCAAATTTCTCCGTTGATTTTGGTCAAAGTACCCAAAATCGGTTGACCAGATCNTCACCCTAGCTTTTGATTTGTTTTCAAAAATTATTGTATCTGTCCCAAATTTCTCCGTTGATTTTGGTCAAAGTATCCAAAATCTGTTGACCAGATCCGACACGGATCCCACACCCATACCCACACCCACGTCGTGTCGACACGGGTGCGGCACTGAAAGTGAAGAGTCCGAGCAACTTAGAATTTGAGAGCACGATTGAAAAAAATATAGAAGGAAAGGACCTTTCTTGTTGTGCATGCTTGAACTATTTGGTCGTGATGCAATTATGGATGTTATAAAGCCACATCTTATGAGAGATAGTATTTAAATCCAACATCAAATTTGGTTTAAACGCAAATTTTCTCTTCGATGATATTCTAGGTTTTTTTATAGTATGTCTTCTGTTATTTGGGCTGTGCATTTAGGAGAAAAATCAGTTACTGCCACCATGGAGCAACCGTTTACTTTTTGTATATATTTATAAACCCTTTTCTTTTGTTTTTTCTTTTCTTTTTCTGCTGGGGGAGAGGTAAGGTGGTAGTAGTCCATGTTTCTATTTTACTTGGCGATCATAGAATTCCACCTAGAATACCAAACTTCTGAATGATTTGGCTGTTAAACTTTGCAATTTTAGTGCAATTACTTCTAGTCTGTTACATTATACCGAATTTTAATCTTCTGTTCTCCAGCTGCTGGTGCCGTGTTGATGTTGATTGTTAGTCATTTTGTGTTTGAATAGTATCTGGTTTTCTTCCTGTTTTGACAGTCTACTAACTGGTTTCTGGCATAGGGTACAGTAGATTTTGTAGACCATGTGATTGGAAGAATGAATTTTAAGTGGTTTGGAGTTGCTTTTGGCCATCTTGGCTGTTGTTATGTATTTTGTTTTCTCATTGCAACTTCCATCATCTCTCTTTTGAGCAACGCTATTCTATCTACCGTAACTTAGTCAATAATGTAAAGGTCTTCTCTTTGGTCACTCTTACTGTACTCTGACTGAGATAAACAAAAAATGCTTCATCCGGCTCATTTCTCTATTGGGATGATTAGCTTCTCAATTAAGGTTAAATTCTCATCTTGGTTTTTCTGACAACAATGCAAGGTATGAGCATTTGGCTCGAAGTGCACCAGCCATTTTAGATGATTCTCTCTCTGCTGATTCCTATCTCAATGTCTTATACATGCCATCCACTTTTCCTCGGTCAGAGAGATCCAGGAGATCTCAAGAAGCCTTAAATGACAGTTCTTCCAACAATACACACTTCGAAGATGGACCCAAGAGCAACTTGGACAGTGTTAGATATCTTGAATGCATCAATTATTTTCAAGAAGTAAGTCTCTTTTTACCTAGAACAGGTACACTTTGGGATTACTCTATTTTTTTCCAAGATCTTCTACCCAATTGTTATCTCGATAAGCATGCTTGAAGCATCTGTATCAGTGTTATATCAGAGTAGTAGTTATAGCAAATTGATCTTTGGCTATTCCCATTGGAACAATTGAATGAGCTTTGCATCAGTCTGAACTATAGTTTTCCCTTCATTATCTTGCATGAATGTGCACTGCATATAGTTATTAGTCAAAGAATGCATTGTGTCTATTCGTGTGTCAGGTATGAAGGCTGGGTTCTTTATCTTTTTTCTATATCTTAGTTTTGTTTCACACCAGGCTTCTTTATCTTTTAATTAAGAAGCTTGTAGTTTGTAAATTACAAATGACAAGTGAGTATAAGGTTTCAACTAGGATGCTTTAAATCTCTTGATACTGATTAATGCGATTGGAAAAAGAATTTTTAGAAAGAAATCATTTCCATAAAATAAGTTCATGTCGACCTTATAAAAAAAAATTACATCTCTTTTTCTGTTTTCCCCTTTTGTTTTGTTTTCCAAGAAATAAAGAAGAATTATAATCCTTGTGCACATAAAACTTAAGATTGTAAAAGGCAATGAAGTTTTACCAATGTTTGATGCTTCCAGAAAATAACTTATATTCTATTTTTCGGACGTATAAATTATTGCCCCTTTTAATGATATTTAAGCTTCCATTGATGATTGTCTTTTAGGAAACATGGGGCACAATTTGTTTGACTATCGAACTCCAACTTAGAGCTCCTTCCACTCTAAACTACTGAGTGCTTATTTTGGCGACTTCCACTATCAAAGTCAAAACCCATTAAAGAAGCCAAAGACACAAGTTTTTTAAATATAATTTTCCACATTTTTGTGTTTCTTCCTGGCTTTTTTTAGTTGTCCTGGGTTGACTTTCGGGGAGTTTGAGAGTGAATAGCGTAAAAAATATTATTATATTGAGTTTGGTAAAGGAGCTATTGAAATAATAGTTAGAAATGAAGGAAACTAAAGAAGTTTGTTTTGAAAAAAATTCACATTAATTCTGAAATGATATAAAGTTAATATAGTTTATACTAAATTTAGTTATTGGAGGGTCAAAATTAGTTTTCAGGAAAGATGTTAAAGGGGATCTAAATTGATAGCAGGTCAATGCAGACAACGGAATACTCCCAATTTATGTGGCACCATTTGGATTTCGAAAGTCAACTGAAGTTTTCTTTGACCACTATTTTTTTATATGCCTTTTAGATATTTTGAATTTTTAATTATTGTGACTTACAGTACTTTTTACGTAGTTTTCAAATATTTAAATTTTATTTCAAAAAATGTAGAGATTTTATGTCCAAATTCATGGTCAAAATTAAGAACTTTGACTCTCTGTCATCTGCAAATATAAGATGAGTCAGTTTCAAGCCTTTACGCATAGGATGAAATCTAAAGTCAGGGAGTTGGCACTTCTTGCTCATAACTCGGGAGAAATATTCCATGAGACGGACAAATAAAAAAGGCGAAATTGGCCCCCTCCTCACTTCAAAGTAGCCATGTTTCTCTCCATTCACCTTCATTGAAAACTTTGTGGAGGTAATACATATCATAACTAACTAGATAAACTTCTTAGGGAACCCAAAATCTGTCAGCATTTCTTCAAGGCAAAATACATAAGTAGCCACCTGAACTATTCACTAAATCCCTGTTACACATTTTGTGAGGACAAATATCATATTACACACGCAACCTTTCAAAATTGTGTCTAGTACACACTACTTTTTTCTTGACCAATTTTTCAGAATATGTGTATTGTCACGCACCAATAACATCGTGACACGTGTTAATAATTAAAAAAAATACTTAAATTTCTCTTGACCAGTTTCTCTTTCCTCGTCTCTTTCTCTTTCAGAAGAAAACCAGAGACACCACCATACTTCAATTCTTCTCTTTCTTTGAAGACCCACTTTCTTCATCATCTTTGTTCTTCTTTACCACTATTTCTCCTTGCTCTAAAACTTTATCACCATTTTTTGGTTTCTAGGTTTTGTTTTTTATGTTTGCTATGGAAACAACATTTTTACCGATGGGTGTTCCTACTGTAACAGTGGCTGGAAAATGGAGGTCGTTGTCGTTTGCATTTTTTAACCAAACGAGACAAGATCTGAACGAAGAACCACCAACTTGCCGGAAAGATCTGAGAGCTTTACCCAACCAGAGAAGATCTGACCTCGTCGGCCATGAACTGTTGAAAGTAACGACCTGGCAACAGAGGTCTCGGCGTTGCTTGAGGTCGTCGCCGGCGTTACGAGTTATGGCCAAGATCTACTTACAGGAGATGAAAGGGGGAGGAGATGGGAGGCGTGGGAGATAAAAGGAAGTTGTGGTTGTCGCTGGATTCTCAGGGCGGCAGGGGCTCCAAATGGGGAAGAAGGGCCTGGGCACCTTTTTCTTTTCTTTTAACTAATAATTTAAGAAAAATAAGGAGAAAAAAAAAGATTTAGACACGTGTGATTATATAAGGATTTGGATTGATAATGCATAGGTTTGACGCGCTTAGTTCTTTTTGTTAAACACACGCGTGCCATCTGACAAAAGTAGTGTGTACTAGTCAATTTTGAAAGGTTGCGTGTGTAATATGATATTCGTCCTCAGAAAGTATGTAACGGGGATTTGGTGTATAGTTCAGGTGGTTACTTATGTATTTTGCCTATTGCCTTTCTTCAATGAACTCCCAACTATCATAAGCCATCCTCAAAACAATGTTCATCATGCATCTAGGAGATGTTTTCCTATAGTAATGCCTCATTAGGCCATTGACAAATCAGATTATTGTGCACCAATGACCTTCCTTGAACAAATGCAGCTTGAGTGTCAGCCAGTAAGGAAGGAAGAACATCCTTCATTCTTTTTTTTTTTCTTTGAGAATGGTAACATGTATAAATATAATCATCAGCACAAAGATTGTGCTGGAAGTCAAAATGAAAAGGTTACATCAGTTCACCAGAAAAGAATGATGGGAAAAAAAAAAAAAACCAAATGTCCTTGTTCTTCTTACAAGGAATCTAACACATCTAGAATTGCCTCAGGATCCTCTATGTATTCAGATTTACGCCAAAAACTGAAAAGAAGTATACAATTCTTCTTGATTTTCTGTAAAGAGCTGCTTGTATCTTCAAAACATCTTGAATTCCTCTCCTTCCATATTGTTCACAAATGCTTGCTGGGACAATTTTCCATCTGTCTTTGTTCATGGTACAGGTTCTACCTTTGTTCCAGTATGTCAACGCATTAGAAGTTCTTCCAGGCATTACCCATCTGATTCCTCTGAGACTAATGAATAAGTCCCATAGCTAGATAGTAATTCTACAATGTAAAAACAGATGGTTGATTATCTTTGCTTCCTGTCCACACAAGTAGTATTTTGAACAGAGTTGGAATCCCCTCGTATGAGATTATCCTGAGTCAAAATAGCTTCTCTTGCTACTAACCAAGTGAAACAGGCCACCTTATATGGCACCTTGACTTTCCGGATATATTTCCAAGGACACAATGTGAGCTGAGATCTTACCTGGTTCAGATCTTTGTAAGCTGAGCTAATCGTATAGTTTCCACTACAAAGGCTTTGCCATCTAAGTGTATCTTCTCCCTCATGCAGCCCATTGCTCTGTTCCAAAGTACCAAAAAACTCGGTTATCCTTGGTATTTCCCAATCTTGAAGTAATCTTCTGAAAGTTGGATTCCATTCGTGTGTGGACCAAACCTCCCTTAGAGTGGCCTCCTGTTGTAGACTCAAACCATATAGATCAGGGAACATCACCATTAGACTGTCATTTCCCAATCAATTATCCTTCCAGTGCTCCATAAAGCTTGTTCTTTCTCTTGTGAATCTCCATGACCATTTCATTAACAGACATTTGTTTTGTTTTTCCAAGTTTCTGATTCCCAGCCCTCCTTCTCTTTTGATGATTGTCAAGTTTTTCCATTTAACCAAATGAATGTCTCTATTCTCTTTATTGCCCTGCCATAGAAAATTCCTTTTCAATGCGTCTAACCTCTTTTCCACACTAACGGGTAGAAGAAAAAAGGTTTCATATAGGTAGGGAGTACATCCAAAAGAGTTTATTAAATCACCCTGCCTCCCAGAGAAAGATAGTGAGATTTAAGATAGCATTTTTCTCCCTCTCCCTCTCTAGTTTGCCATAAGTATTCAGGCTCCACTCTCTCAATTTGCTTTTGAGCGCTTTCAGCTTTCCTGCTACAATATAGTCTGGTCTGCCTGTAATATCAAAAGAGGTCTACCAAATCTTTACTCTATCACTGAAACCTTCAGTCTCCCGCCACCAATTTTCAAACTTGAAATAAGATTTGGTTGTCTCCCAGTTACCACAATTTAAAACTAGTGGAGAGTGATCTGAAACAACTCTGGTAGGATTTCTATAGCTCTGAACATATCATCCCAATCCTTTGTCACCAGGAACCTGTCAATCCTATATTCCCCCAAACCATGTGTAGTTGCCCCTTTCCATTGTGGTACAATCAACTCCATATCATCAATATACTCTGAGAATTCTGACATTGGTCCGGTGCTTCTTGTTAGATAGTTATGTAAATAACCCTAGTCCCATATGGAATAGGAGTAGAACATGTATTGTGTATAGTTATAAATAGGGGTATTGTAAAACACTTAATAGAAGATAAATAATATTTTTCTCGTGCTTTCTCACATGGTATCAGAGCATACGTGAGAGATTCATCGATGTGCAAAAATACTAGCAACTCCAGGAAGAAAAAAACCCAGTCATTGTGCGAATTCCGGTGGTTGTCCGGCATCAGTTCCTTTTCTGTTGGTGTTGTGCGAAAACCAACACCACCACAAGGTTAAGAATCTTCTGGATGGGGGAGTTCCAAGGATGGCCTTTACACCGTTAAAGTAAGCTACACTCACTTTTACTCCACCAATGAAATCATTGATAGATGGCCTTGGAAATACATCT